TTTGTTTAGTACCATCCTGATGTCAATAAAGAGCCTGGAGCAACTGAAAAGTTCAAGGAGATCAGTGCGGCTTATGAGGTAAGAGTAGGAGGTTGTTTGATACGGATTGTTACAATCTGGTCTGTTCGACTGCAGCTTGAATGTTACTGTGACGTTAATACGCTATTTCATAGTTGATTGAGAAATCTAAGCTATCATTGCCGTATAAGTTCAATCTGGTCGGCTAAGATTTACAATGATTGGCAATGTCTTTGACCATTTGATCAATTCCACAGCAACAAACTTTCTGAAAGTGCTGATATGAAAAGAATAGTTATGCTTTTAAAATCGATTTTGATGACCATATTTTCTGTTAGTTACATTACCCAGTTAGGTTCCTGCAATAAGATATATACTTTTCAATTCTTTGGTGCATCACTCTGAAGATGTGATTCCTCTGCATCTGAGTATTTGGCTTACAACTTTTCAGTAGCTTTGTTGGCATAATAAATAATAAGTAATGCCTGACCTCTCTTTTTGTTGCTACTGCTGCAATTATCTTTTCGACATTTTGCATTTTACTTCAAAATTCATATTTGTTTTAATAGGGTTTCTCTGTTTTGTGATTCTTTAATAGACTTTTCGCGATGCTGTTTTGGATTTATCTCTCTTGACAAAGCCCATGAAGTCCTAAGTGCTAGTCAAAATTGAGTAGTCATAATTTTTTGATGGTCACAGAAGATTATCTGGTTTTTTAGGTGTAGAATGCTAGCGCATGCTATTAAAAGAATTCTGAAGTACGGTATTGTCAGGTACTATCAGATGACAAAAAAAGAGCTTTGTATGATCAATATGGTGAAGCTGGAGTCAAAAGTAGCGTTGGTGGAGCTGGCGGTTATGCGGTACTGACTATATTTTTTTTGCCAATGAGTTGTGTTTCCACTAAAGATGTCATTGGCAAATGTGCTCCATAGAGCAGTTTTACATTTGGAAGAAGTTCGCCGTGCTTGCTTTATTCTCACCAAGACAATTCAAATATCTTACAAATTTCCACCAGTACTGTCTTTGGGCTTAGTTTATCTGGAGTGAACCTTTTTCTACCAAGGAACTCTATCATTATCAAAAGTGAAAGTGTTTGTAAACTTGATTGCTGTTCTATCATGCTTGTTATCTGTCGCAGTGCAATTATGTTATCACAACATAAAAATGGCATGAAGTAAGTAACTCCGATGTGTCAAAAGCCCAGATTTTCTAAAATTTCTTCCCCAAAATGATATGTACTTGGTATCTCTGACTCCCAATTTATTTCATGTCATAAATCTATTTGAAGTATGCAAGCCTTGAAAAGAAAAGATTTATGCTTGTATGGCAATAAAAACATCTATTTTTGGTTGTTGATGTTTATCTTGTTCCCTAGGCAACCAACCCATTTGATCTATTTGAAGCATTTTTTGGGTCTAGTATGAGTGGCTTCACTGGAATGGATGGATCTGGATTTGGAACCGCACGACGCAGTACTGTTTCGAAAGGTGAAGATATCCGGTAAGTAAAATTTGAATATATCATTCCCTTGACATATTAGTTATTATTAGTTCTGTCACGTTATTTTAAATTCGTTTTATTGTCCACATCTTAAAAGATGTCACTGGTATGTGATAGTTCTTCATCTAGCTTGTAAATTTGAAGGCATGATTTACAGTAGGTTCCAATTTTCTCGTGCACGGGTTTTATAGCACTTCGGAGCCTGGATGGTGTTGCTAAGTAATATCGTCCACTAAATTTGATTAATTCTTTTTTCTCATCAAAGCTGTTTTTATTATTTAAAATACCTATCAGTTATGATATGACATTGGAATTTTCGGCGGCTATATTTGGGACTGAGAAAGAATTTGAGTTGTCCCATCTTGAGACCTGTGAAGTTTGTGCTGGCACTGGAGCAAAAGTAGGCTCCAAAATGAGAATATGCTCAACATGTGGTGGCAGAGGACAAGTCATGAGAACTGAACAAACACCTTTTGGCTTGTTTTCGCAGGTACTTGTCTATATAAGGCAGGTTTCCTGCTTCAAAGGAGATTTTAGATTTCCATCACGTCGGTAATTGTTGTGACATTGATGTGGCCGCTATCAATCACATACTATGTAGAAGGAAAGAAAAAAAAAACCATAATGCAAGACATGGTCAATGATTAAAGTTGATTACATAATATAGCCTAGTGTTTTTTTTTTAATGCTTTCCAAAAGCCCGTGTAGGACTTAACCTACTCTGTTGTTTATTGTTTAGTGCATAACTAGGCATACATGTTCCTCTAGATTCATGTGAAAATATGCATATCTTTTGCATGACCCAGTGAAAATATACACCTCTTATGCTTGTAGAAACTCAGTTTATTGTCTTTCCTTTGTATGGGACTGTGAATTGAACTGCTGCATAACCATTGATTATTTCAAACAAATATTTTATTTCTTTCTCAAAAGAATGTAATTTCAAGTTTATTAGATCAATTTAATGAATTTTAGCTGACATGTGATTATATTTTTCTAGCCAGTTCTGTTTAAGCATGCAAAAGAACTTTAATTGGCCAACCCTTTTTGGTAAAGTTAAAGTATGCTCTCACATGGTGTATGCATTAGGTATCTATATGCCCGAATTGTGGTGGGGATGGTGAAATGGTATCTGAATCCTGCCGTAAATGCTCTGGTGTTGGCCGGGTACGAGTTAGAAAAGACATCAAAGTGAAAATTCCTCCTGGAGTTGCGAAGGGAAGTATTCTTCGAGTTTCTGGAGAGGGTGATGCTGGGCCAAAAGGGTATGTACCTTGCTGATCTTCTGCTTTTCAGATATGGATTCCTGTGCCCATCGCTACAGGATTTCGCATTACGTCCTTCCCAGGAAGAAGTTATTTTGTCAATGCTCAATTCGTTATGTAAAGAAGATGTCTTTCCCTTAAATGTTTGTTTCTTGTTTTTTTTTTTTCTTTTTTCTTTTGCCATGTTCTTTGATTAATTTCCTACAAACTATTATTGTGCGCTCATGAATGCACATGAGATCTTCAAGGAGTTCTTATGCATGAAATGTGATGCCAAATGATGTTGTCGTGTTGTGTTGCTAAATCGCTATTTACTCATTTCATACATTTTTCTGTAGGTTTCTGTTACTATTCTGGAAATGTAAAGATAAATTGGGTAATTGCATGTCTAACTCATCTGGGGCTTCTTTCTTGATACAGAGGCCAACCTGGAGATCTTTATGTCTATCTTGATATTGAGGAGATACCTGAGATTCAAAGAGATGGCATAAATCTCAACTCAACTATTTCAGTCAGTTATCTGGATGCCATATTGGGGACTGTTATGAAGGTATGTTTAATCTTTGTTCTTGTGCAGAGATCTGTTTATTTTCCTGGATTTACTGTACCTATGCATTTTTCCCTGATGTATATTAGATTAGTTTAGGTTGCTTAACCTGGGTAGAGTCAAAGGTTCGTGCTTTTTCATCCAATTGATCCCATCTGAAACTGAGCTCAAGCAACAAGTATATTATGGCCCACAATTGTTTGGGTTTTTTCACAAATGTTTGAAGGACATGCCATTACAACGTGGTGTGCATGTGTTTAGGATGCTTTACTTGGTGTGCATATGTTTGAAGGACATGCCATCACAACTTCCCTTTGAAATGGTCAAAGTATATATTTAAACCACAGAAAGATCTTGCAGAAGGCCAAGGGAAACCTACAATATTATCCATTCCCTCCCTTCATTATAAACTATTCAGAACTACAACTACCGGTTCCCCGTTCCTAGTTCTAGGAACACTGGCCGCTCTGGACACCCATTAGTACCTTTCTGTGTTTTTTTTTTTTTTTTTTTTTTTTTTTTTTTTCATATGCGTTTTACCTTTCAAGGAACTCACTATTTTTTTGGACATTCTTTAATCTTTACTCAAATCTTCCACTCATATCCGTTCTCTTAAAACTGACTGCCCATGCAAGTGCGCTTTTGGTCAAACGGAAACAATAGTACGATTATATGAAGTGTTTTAGATGCAGCAGTTGACAATTTGTGTGCTTTTACAATCTTGAAAGTCGCAAACTATGACAAAGTGCATAAACTACATAGAGCTAACATATATTCTTCATGACTTTTGCTTAGACTTGCAGATTTTTGCCATTCTTATTTAAAGTTTTCATATGATGCAAACCAACATTTTCTGAATATTTAGTTTACTTACCTATTCACTAGTACGTGGACCATGCGATGCATGGTGAAATTATGATTGTATTAAATTTAAATATATACATGATAATAATCATGATTTACTCATTGTTTTTAAAATCGAACCGGACCAAATAATCTCATCAGGTGGACTGCGAACCGATTTATCGATCAGTCTGGTTTGCTTGAATAAAATGTTTGTTTGTGAACCGATCACCACATGTCGCTCGAACGGGTAGGATTTGTACGATTTTTGAATAAATTTGTAACATCTAAAAATTATTTTTAGTATGAATAAAAATACATATTTAAATAAAATGCATATTCCCTTGCCTTATTATATAGTAATAGATGTGATTATTTATATGTAACAATTGCATAAAATGGTGTATGCAGAGACATATTTGGGACCTATTTAGATCTTGTATATTTGGCTGACCCCATAATTGATAAGGAGAAAATAGTTATGGGTTACAAGACAGTTTGTGAATTATAACTCCAAGAAAATTAATATAATATTTTAGTTGCTGACACCACCTTGCTAAGATCAGCATAACTTTTTATTATCAAATATTTCTATGCACGAGAAGTTGGTAAACACCTGCATGTTTGAACTAGACGGTGGCGGCACATTTATGTTAAAAATGCTTATTTTACTGATATCAGTGAAAAATAATGTTAAAAATCACGCACACACATTTAACTGATGTCAAATGTTGATTCCTGGTATTTGGAATAGGTTAAGACAGTTGAAGGAGTAACAGATCTGCAAATTCCACCTGGTACTCAACCTGGGGATGTGCTAGTTTTGGCAAGAAAAGGTGCACCTAAACTTAACAGGCCATCAATCCGTGGTGACCATCTATTCAACGTGAAAATTAGCATACCAAAGCGTATCAGGTAAGTTGGAAGCTCTTCCTTCAAACTTTATCTGTACGTGGCTCACTTGGTTTAGTTTGTTCCAACATTGGAATACTGGATTTTGTATTGCTAAATTGTCGTTTCTAGTCTGTACTCCTTTTGGCTTTTTGTGACAATTTGATTGTATGTCTATCTGTTTATTTGAAAACACAAAATTTGTCTATAGCGTGGAATAGCTAAACTGAGACCCCCCATCTCATCTTCTCATGCTCTCAATACACAGGAGTTTTCATTGTAATCAGATATTGATGCTAACAAATATGAGTTCATTTAGCTAGTGAAGGAATTATCTTAAACTTGCTTCTCGTGGTTTAAGTCATCTTGATGGTCCTGATTGGACGTGAATGGCCTGGTAACTTTCTATATATTGTAACAAGTTCAAAAATGGTTGATATTTTTAATATGGCAGAAACTATTTCCAGTTCTTATGATTCATGATTCAGGAGAACTTCCTTTTATCGTGGTTTAACTTTTGCCTGCCTTTGCTTTTGACTTCGTCATATTTTATTTTCAAGGGAATTTAATTCAGGATACTTTAATTTCAGTGAAAAGGAACGAGAACTACTTGAGGAGCTTGCAACTATTGGTAAAGCCCCTGCCAACCGTTCAAAAACTCGCCCTAAAGTTAAAAGACCCGGTGAGCAGTTCTTCTGCAAACTCAAGTAACTTGACTGGTTATGAATCCATTCGTGATATTTGTGGCATGATTTAGTTAATTTCTATGGATTAAGTTACGTATTTATCTCCAGAGTTTAGCCTGGTTACCCAGTTATCTTGAGAAACTACTTACAAACACCTTCTGAAGGTTTTCATTTGCCTAACTAATAGAGGTGAGCATAGGTCGGTATAGTTCGGAAATTAGAAATCTCCGGAACCGAAATTCGGAGATCACTAAAATTCAATCTCCGGAACCGTACCAATAATCGGTTCAATTCGGTTCGGAGTTTTTTTATTTTTCTGTACGGTTCAGTTTGATATTTGGGACTGTCGGGATGGTTCGGTTCTGTTTGGAGCGTTGAAAGTTTTTAACTATTTTTAAATTTGTTTGATTGACTCTTTAGTTACATTTAAATTTTGATAATTTTTTTTCTTTTAAAGCCAACATTTCATTAAAATTTTATTTGGAATCAACTTTGGAAAATATAGAAGTAACTCAAAATTTTAGTTAAGGCTGAATTTGTATAACTAATGATGGAAATTCGAAATTCAAATAAAATATAATATAATTTTTAAGTATTTCTTTACTTTTCATACCCTTTTAAATATAAGGCTAAGAAAAGTATCAACAAATGTTATATAAATGCATTTTTCAATTAATTGTAGATCAAGAATTATTAAGCATAAAATTAAGTGAAGTTTAATTGTTCTCACTATATATTGGTAAGTATTTTAAAAATAGCAAAATTATATAGGATTAAAGTTGACATAAGGTATATGAACAAGACACACTTGATATTATAATTCAATTATTATTTTCAGTTCTTCAGTTCAGTTCGGTCCTAGTTACAATATTTGTGAAATCTCCATAACCGAATTACTTTTTCTGTTCGAGTGAATTCAGTTCGGTTTTTGGAAAGCTGCGAAATTCTTTGAGTAACTAATCCTCTACCCAAATTTAGGGGTGAGCAAAACTCAATGGGTACAGAAAAACTGAGCTGAGCCCAACCGATGATTTCGATGCGTGTGGTTCGGTTTGGTTTTGATGTACTTCGGTTTCAGTGTCGTTTGATTTTTGAAAAACTTCAACAATTGTAGTGTGGTTCGTTTTTGTGTTTAAGGGATTTGGTTTTAACCGAATCGAACCCCAAATTGTAACACTTAAGGAAATGCATATTAAGTTGACATTCTCAATTGTATCGGTGGAAAGAAAAGGGAAGTCTTCGAAGTTCGACCCTCAGTCTCAAACCTAGTTCACCAACAATCCCCATCAGTTGCTCTTGATTCTCAGGCCTTCGTTCCCTCGCTCACAGTGCTAGTGGTGCGTGGTGCTAGATCAATTTGCCCTCTCTTTCACTCTCTGCCTGTACCCTGCTTCCGTTCCTTCGCTTTCCGTCTACCGTTTTACCTTTCTTTCTCCTCTTAGGAAGTAGTAGTTGTGTTCGCACTCGCAACGGTCCTATAACTGTAAATTCTCGATAGTATCCTTGTTCCATCTTATATTTGAATGCGCCGGTCAAAAGTTTGCATTTATAGACAATAGTACCCGAAGTAGACCTCCAGCAAATATCAACCATCCACTCTCGAGATTCATATTGAGAAATTGATCCCTATGAATTCGGTCAAAGGTCCTGCCAGTTCGCTAAGTAGACTTACTCTACCGAGGGGCAACAAAGGCTGGAACTCTTCCTGCCAAAAACAAGGGACCTACTTCTCATCCTAGGAGTTAGCAGGTATAAAAGAATCCTCCCTCTCTGTCTCTCTCCCCGAGTTTCTACTACACTTCTGCTGTCCAATCATAGAAGAGATGGAGATCAGGCGGGACTATGATATGTTATTAGTCAAGCGCTAAGGCCCCTTGTCTCCTCGCTCACCGTACGCTAGTGGTGTGTGGTGCTAGATCAATTTTCCCTTTCTTTGACTCTCTCCCTCGCACTCTTTATTTTGTATTTCAGCTGTCGACTTGCCAAGAATTTCTTTGTTTTTGGTTTACCGTGAGTCATGGTGGTCAGCCCCTAAATTTTTTGTGTAAATTGGTGGTCGTGGTGGCTGGCACCTATTTCATATCATGAGTGAACCATGGCTATGTCTGTTCTCTGTTCTAATTTTTTTGACGGATTGTTCTATTTTATTACTTCTTTAGACTTCTTACACTTTTTTTTTTGTTCAAATAGAGATATATAGTGTAGACTGTGTAGTGACTGGTGATGGCGTGATTTAACTGTTAATTTTTAAGTAAAATTAATTTTTTTTTTTTTTTTCTTTTTTTTGTTAATTTTTGCTTTCATATCCCACTTGAAGAAATGACATAAAACTTGCTCTCAGATCCCAATATGTGCTCTCATATCCCAGACAGACTGTTCTTTTTGTTATTTTTTTCTTCTTTTTTCTGTGTGGTTACCGAAAAAACCCAAACTGAAAGCGAAAATTTTGGTCGGTTTTGGTTCGGTTTTTTCTCTATCGATGGATTATTGCGGTTCCGTTCACACCCTTACCCAAATTTTAAATAGAAATAGCATTTCGTAGCGTGCTACGATGCAAGTTTTTCAGTAACATGTGATGTGTGTTTTCCCAAAAAGGCTGCACAAAATGCTGACTTCACAAGGTTTTTTTTTTCTTATTTTTTGTTTTTTATTTTTTACTTCACAAGCATTATTATGTTATTTTGCGCTACATTACTGCAACAACATTAAATAACAAAAGAAAAGAAAGAATCTCATCCTATTGGATTAGAGTCATATTCTCAAACAAGAATTGAAAATTTTATATTGATTTCACTAAAAAGTTTAAAAATCAAAAGCCTAAGTTGACCAGTTATCGACCTAGTTTTATTATATTCTTTTTTTATTTTATTTTTGTAATTCGTATTGAGATCAAGGAATGAAAATTCAAAGTTAGTGGGTAGAATTGAATTTGAGTTTCAAAATTTAAGAATTTTAATTAACATGCATTGTGACTTACATCGTTATATTCTTATTATTTGTTTTAAGCTTATTATTGATTTAACTTATATATTAAGACATTTACATTATATATTTGTAAGAATAATGCTTAAATGTTATTTTTTTATTTCGATATTTAATATTTGGACAATTTTTTGAAATAACTACCCAATTTTATTATGTATAGATATATATAATATTTATATCAAAATAAATTTTATGCCCCAATTTTAATGGGTTTTTACCTGCAGTTATTTGACAGACTATATGAGCAAGCTCTTATATTTTACACGTCTTTGGAGCTTATAAGTTATCAGATGTCAGATGTTACTTTAAAATTAAGTTGGTAAAGTGTTTGGATAAATTGTAAGAATGATGAGCTCATAAAATCTTAGTAATGACAATTGCTTCTTAATCAAACAAGCTGCCATACATTGTGTACGAGCATACAAGATCTCGAACATTTTATAGTACGTTTTAAAAAGCTTATTAAGCATAGATAAACATACTCTTCGTCGATTAGTGACGCCTGGTTCGTTTCCCGCATTGCAGATGAAATTTCAAAAGGTGAAGACGTTCCTTTGGCAGAAAATGAAGGTAAATCAGAAGATGAAGATGACGTGTGGAAGAAGTTGAAAGATTTTGCTGGGTATTCTCACCTTTACTGTCATTCTTCCTATTGTAGTTTGTTATTACTTTCACATTTATTGACAAACCATATATGCTATGAGTATAAATGGTTTAAACAACGCTATCATAATCGTAAATTCACTCGTGAAACTATAATTCTTTGTTTTAGCATTGTTCGTGTCCTAGCTTTTAGTGATATTATGTTTCATGCTCTGATGGATGATTTTTTTTTTTTTTAATTATTGCTGCTTCTTTGATTCAAAGTATTACTATGCCACATCTCCCAACCGCCCTCTTTCTCGGCCCCTTGTTTAGGAATAATTACGACTAGTGCCAGTGAGGCTTAGTCAATTTGCAAAAGACTCCAGTTTTCTTTCACAATTATGTAATCCCCCTTCAAGAGTAACAAATTAAAATTTTCATTTGCCCAGTGAAGGCTTCTCTCGTGATGGATCAATTTGTAAAGAGGGTGATATCAAGTGCCTTTTATGATTTTGATACATAATTAGGTTTTTTCTGTATTTAGGTTCCATGCTTAACTGCTGTTGGATATATTTTTTTTTTTGTTTTTTTTATAACATTGTCCTTGCTTCTCAGACAAATTTTATAATTTGACCGTTCTTTCACGCGGAATCTTCTGTTTACTATTGTGTTTCATTTAGTGTTCTAGCAAACAAATGAAATTCACGGATAGCAGATTTTAATGTACGTTTATTCAATTTTCATTGCATATTTCTGCCGTGGAACTATTAATCGAAATGAATATTGTTGTTGCAGGTCTGTTGCAAATGGGGTTGCAAAGTGGTTTAAAAACAACTTATGATTTGAAAAATGAAGAGTTACACGATGCACCCAATGGATTTTCATGGCGGCTTCAGGATTCAATCTTGCGACAGATCTTAGATTTCTAGCTGAAAAATTGCAGAAGCATTCTTTGGGTTTTTTCTTTT